CTGGCTTCAGATCGGCGCAGCGCTTGCCATAGCAGCCACTTGAGGGGTGAACCAATGGAAGACCTTTCTCTCTGTCTCTCTCTCTCTCACTGTCTAACTCTGCCTGTCAAAAAAAAAAAAATGCATTTGAAACTGCATGTTAAGTAGTCTGAATTTGAGGTGCTCACAGGCTATCATTTATTACTTATCTGGAAAGTGTGTAGGAACAGCATAAACCTAAAACACAGACTTACTTGAACAAATGAAAGGACAGCAAATCACAGCTATATGGATAGTATGGGCACTAAAAGTTGCTAAACTTATCAGTGACTCTAGTTGGATTACAAGCACGAACATGAAAGGTTTCTTCTTGTGTTTCCAGTTATACACAAACATATCAGTTGTCTCTAAAAGTGTGAGTCTGTATCACGTTGATGTTCTTAGGTCTGGAAACAAGATCCCTGATGATTTTTTCCTGATATTTTTGAAGGCTTTTTATTCTAAAATTAATTCATTCTACTTCCCATTACATAGCCTTTTTTAAAAAAGAAATGGTTGTGACGAACTTAATAACTACTAATTCAAGTAATTTACTCTATAAAGACAAATTTACTTGCCTCGTGTCAGAAAAGCATCTAGCCCTCCTTGAACATGCTAGGTGAAGGTGACATGCATAGAGACTCCCTTTCTACTACAAGTGAATGGAAGTGGGGGAGAAAGTCACAGAACAAACTCTGCAGGTTTCAGAAACAAAGAAACCAAAGCCAGGGACCTGGGCTTGCCCGAGTATCGGATTAGGCGGTGATTGTGACACTGACCAATTCAAGTCCCAGCTGCTCCACTTCCCATCCAGCTTCCTGCTAATGTGCCTGAAGTAGCAAATAATGGCTCAAGCACCTGAGTTCATGCTGTCCATGCGGGAGACCAAGATGGATTTCCAGGCTCCAGGCTTTGGCCTGGCCCAGAGCTGGCTGTTGTTTCCACCTGGGGAGTAAACCAACAAAGGAGGCTCTCCGTCTCTCTCTCTCTCTCTCTCTCTCTCTCTCTCTCTCTGCATGTGTGTATGTGTGTGTATCAATCTGCCTTCTAAGTAAATAAACAAATAAATCTTTAAAACAAACAAAAAAAGAGAAAAAAATTTTAAAAGAAGGAAACCAAAGGCACAGCAGTGAGTGTGGACATTGGGGCCCATGGAGTTTTAGTTCTGGATAAAGGACCTTGGACGGGAAGATGGGCAGGGGAGGCTGACCCAGAGACAGGTAGTAGACTCAAGCTCAGTGGAGATGGGGCTTGAAACCAGCTCTCCGCACGAAGTCTAGAGCCTCTGGCAGAGCCAGAGGAACCCTACTCACTGGAAGCAGTAAGAAGTTTGCTGTTTATTGAGCCCTAAAGAGGGCACAGGTAGGGAAGAAAAAAGAAAGCATTATCTGAGAGAAACTGACAGGTGGAGTTAGGTACTGCGAATGGAAAGCTAACCCTAAATCCGTTTTCTTGGACTGGGACTCTAAGCAAATAAATTAACATACAAATAGATCCTCAGCCTCGATATCCCTGGGGATCTGATAAAACGAATGCAAAAGTACTCTGTGAGATCCCTTTTGCTACCTAGGGATCAGTGTGTGATAGGCGACCCTAACTGAATGTCCTGGACTGCATGGTTTAATAGTGGAAATCATCTTCTCATTGTTCTGGGAAAGCCAAGGTCAGAGGGCAGCAGCTTTGGTTTCCCCTGAGGACTCTCTCCCTGACTTACAGGTACTGCACTTCTGTATCTGCTCAGGGCCTCTCCTCTGTGCTTGCATATCTCTGGGGTCTCTTTCTATCAGGCCAACAGTCATGGCGGATTAGGGGCCCAGTCTTAGGACCTCATTTAACCTTAATTCCCTCTTTGAAAGCTCCGCCTCCAGACACAGTCATATTGGGTGTTAAGGCTTTGGATTAGTAAGGGCTCTCCAATGAAACAGGACCAGTGAGAGACACACACACACACTCATGCCCATGAACTCAGAGAGTTCATGTTTAATGTGTGTTGTGAGAAAACTAGAGGCAGGTGGTCCGCATAGCATTTAAGATGCCCATATCCAATGCTGGAGTGACTGGGTTCATTTCACAGTGCATACTGTAGGAGGTAGCAGGTCATGACTCAATTACATAGGTCCCCACCACCCACACGGGGGGCCCAGATGAAGTTCTTGGCTCCCGGCTTTGGCACTGCCCAGCTCCAGCTGCTGTGAGCATTTGTGGAGTGAACCAGTAGATGAAAGATTGCTCTATCTCTGTCTCTCTGCCTCTCAAATAAAGTAAAATAAATTCATTTTTAAAAGTAAGAACCTCTTTTTAAAAATAATATATGCATGAATTCAAAATTTTTGCACCAAAATAAATTTAACTTCATTTTTCCATAAACTTTCCATACATATGTAAAGTGATTCATTAGAAAGCATTAACTTGGCCAGTGCTGCAGCTCACTTGGCTAATCCTCCACCTGTGGTGCTGGCACGCCGGGTTCTAGTCCCCGTTGGGGCACTGGATTCTGTCCCGGCTGATCCTCTTCCAGTCCAGCTCTCTGCTGTGGTCCGGGAAGGCAGTGGAGGATGGCCCAAATGCTTGGGCCCTGCATCTGCATGTGAGACCAGGAGGAAGCACCTGGCTCCTGGCTTCGGATCTGCACAGCGCGCCGGGCGGAGCCCCCCGGCCATAGTGGTTATTTGGAGGGGTGAACCAACGGAAAAGGAAGACCTTTCTCTGTTTCTCTCTCTCACTGTCTATCTCTGCCTGTCGAAAGAAAGAAAGAAAGAAAGAGAGAGAGAAAGAGAGAGAGAGAGAGAGAGAGAGAGAGAGAGAGAGAAAGAAAGAAAAAGAAAGAAAGAAAGAAAGAAAGAAAGAAAGAAAGAAAGAAAGAAAGAAAGAAAGAAAGAAAGAAAGAAAGAAAGAAAGAAAGAATTAACTTGTGATTATGGAGACTGAGGATCCCATGATCTGCCATCTATAAACTGGAGACCCAGAAAGTCCATGGTTACTGAGAGCTGGAGAGCCCACGGTGCAGATTCCAGTCAATCTCTGAAGGCCTGAGGACCAGGATTACCAAGGGTCAGAGAGTGATATCCCAGCTCAAGCAGTCAGGCAGGGAGAGAAGTCAGCCTTCCTCCATCTCTTGTCCCATCCAGGCCCTCCGTCACTGGCTGATGTCTGCCACATTAGGGAATCTACCTGATTCAGCCCACCACTGAAATGCTAGCCATTGTGGAAACATCCTCATGGACACACTCAAATAATGCATCCCATGGCACAGTCGAATCATTACATACAGTTGGGCATCAGGGCTGGTGTTGTAGAACGGTGGGTTAGGCCTCCTCTTGCAATGCTGGCATCCTAGATGAGAGTACTGATTCCAGTCCCAGCTGCTCCACTTCCGAGCCACTTTCCTGCTTGAGGCCCTACCAGTTACATGGGAGATCAGGATGGAGTTCCTGGTTCTTCACTTTGGCCTGGCCCAAAAAATGTGGTCATTTGGGAAGTGACCCAGCAGGTAGAAGATTGATATTTCTCTCTCTCTCCCTCTCTCTCTCCTCTCTCTCTCTCTCTCTCTCTCTCTGTCACCCTCTGCATTTCAAATAAACAAATCAATAGAAGAGTGGGAGACCTAGTTTGGGTTACTTGGCTCCAGCCTCTAGCCCATTCCAGTCTGTTGAGTGCATTTGGGGAGTAAACCAGGGATGAGCGCTTGCTATCTCTATTTGTTTATCTATCTCTCTACCTCTCAAATAAACATATAAATAAAGGAAAAATTGTGATAATTTTCTATAATGGAATACAAGAGTCTAAAATTTGAAGAAGTGCACTGATTCCCAAGCAATAAAAACAAAGACAAATAATAGACTATATCTAGCTTGAGAAAAATTCAGCAATGTCAATGCTTCTCACAAAGGAAATCATGATAGGGGGCCAGTGTTGTGGCACAGAAGGTTAAGCTTCTACTTTTGACGCCAGCATTCCATATTGGAGCACCGGCTGCTCTGCTTCCAATTCAGCTCCTTGGTAATGCACTTGGGAAAGCATGGAGAATGGCCCAAGTACTTGGATCTCTCTCACCGACATGAAAGACCCAGATGGAGTTCCAGGCTCCTGGGGAGTGAACCAGTGGATGGAAGATTCTCTTTCTCTCCCTCTCCCTCTCCCTCTCCCTCTCCCTCTCCCTCTCCCTCTCCCTCTCCCTCCCCCCTCTCTCCCCATCATTGTGCCTTTCAAAAAAGAAATCTTTTTTCAAAATCACAATAAATGTAAAAGAACTGTTTTCTACAGTATATACCCTATGATCATACTACAGGAAAATTATAAATTAACAAAAACATAGTAGCTGCTAGGGAAATGAAAATGACTGGCACCAATGCAAAGAATCTAAAAAACACAAGTTGTTCAGATGGCCCTTGACCTAGATCTTCAACTTTGTGGTAGGTTTGTTCACATGTAACCCGTTCTATACTGAAGGACATCTGTTATAAAGCATGAATTGAAACTTAATTGTTTCTTCAATGCATACAAGAAAACAAATTTTTTGAGGTATTTGGTATACAAGAGTACTTCAAAAAGTTCACAGAAAATGGAATTAAAAGATAAGTTTACTTTGGTGCAAAAAGTTTAAAAATCCATGCGTAGTCTTTTCATGACATGCATTTTCCAAGAACTTTCTGAAGACTCCTTGGATAGTTGTACCTGATTATTTCTTCTAGTGACTGTGGCTTCAAAAGCAAATAATTGTCCTTGGCCTTGCGGACATTCCTGAGACTGCTTTGTGGGCTTCCTCTGATCTTGATTCTAGAGGACTGTATTTTGCTGGTACTTTATAAACTGCTTTCACATACATTCAGTCATCATCTAATTTCTCCCTTCTCAGTGATGTAAATGAGAAGTGCATTTATGACATCCTTAACTAGCATGCAAATCACTCAACAATATGCAAATGAACAAATACCGCTAGAAACAGAAATTTCTTGCCAACTAATTTTTACTTCCTGTTACAGCAGATAGAGGCCATCCCGGTGTGCCAGGTGAGCAGAGTCTTATAGTGGAAGACGACTGGCATGGAGGGTCAAGAGCTTGAAGATGGTATTTTCCTACTAGCATTAAGTATCAGCAAGATGTGTAAGTGGATTTGTTGTTCCATCGATTTAAGGAAAGATCCCTCTGGAGCCGGTGCTCGGCCTAGCAGTTACGATAAGGGGGCCAGTGCTGCAGGGTAGTAGGCCAAGCCCTCGCCTGCAGTGCTGGCATCGCATACGGGAGCCAGTTCATGTCCAGCTGCTCCTCTTCCAATCCAGCTCTCTGCTTATGGTCTAGGAAAGCAGCAGAGGATGACCCAAGTTCTTGGGCCCCTGCACCCCCGTGGGAGACACGGAAGAAGCTCCTGGCTTCTGGTTTCAAATAGGCCCAGCTCTGGCCATTGTGACCATTTGAGGAATGAGCCAGCGGATGGAAGATCTTTGTCTCTCCCTCTCTTTGTAGCTCTGTGTGTCAAATAAATAAATAAAAATCTTTGGAAAAAAAGATACAGGACAAGATTCCTTCATCTCAAATCAGAGTGCTTGGATTTGATTCCTGGCTCTGGCTCCTGACTGCAGTGTCCAGCCAATGCAGACCAGAAGAGGCAGTGGTGATGGCTCAGGTAACTAGGCTCCTGTCACCTGCATGGGAGATCTGGTTATGTTCCTAGCTCCTGGTTCCAGCCACAGTCCAGCCCTCTGGTCAGGTATGTGGGGGCTAAACCAGCAGATGAGAACTCTGTAACTCTTTCTCATAAATGAAAAATAATAATAAATGTTCCTTAAAAAGGAAAATATCACTCTGAATGCCCTAAAATATTTAATAATAGAGTGTAGCAGAAACAGTGTACATAAAAACATTTTTCTTTTAAAAGCCTTAGCTATGAAAATTAAGCAGACTTTTAAAAGTTTATAACAGTTTTTGAAAAAAAGTCTTGATTAGATTAAAATAGATGTTATAATTTTGACTTTAAAACCTAAAGTTTCTATTAAGGATTATGTTAGTGTACTTTCTCTAATAGACAACACATGTGGACGGGTTTTTGTCTCTGAACACGTCTGTAGTGCGTTCTGGTTACTATTCCGGATAGCGGGTAGCTGAGTCTTAAGAAATGTTGTGTAGCTAGGCTCAGTAGCACTCACAAGCTGAGGCACAACCCATTGGCCAGACATTTGACAAACAATTCTCCTGTTTTTACTTTTGTTTTTTGACATACGTGACTGAGGTGCCTGCCGTCCTTCTCATCTATGTTGAGCTGAATGTTTCTGCCTGGAGCAAACCGTGACATGAATTCTCCCTGTTCCCAGCTTCCACAGGAAGCGCAATCAGTGCAGCATCCTGAAAGGTTTCCTGCAGATTTGCGGTGGCATCTGGAGGGGCTGTATCCCACACCGTGCAGATCTTCACTCCCAGACCCCACTAAACATCTCTCCCCGCCACCCCCGGTCCCTGGCCCTCAGAAGTCACACTGCCCAATCAGTGCAGGCCCCGTCCTCCAGGGCGCTCTCCAAGGTGAGTGATGGACTATATACTCCTCACCCCTTACCTGCTGAGTCACCAAGGCGTGTCTTACCTAATCCCAGCTTCTAGGAAAGTGAGGGCCCTCCAGCTACCAGAATTTATCCTCCAAAAGCAGCTGGAGCTACAAGCAGCAAGAATTATCACATATAAAAATAAATTCTTTAAAAAATGACCAGTACTGACGTTTCTTCCCCAAAAGAGCCATCTTTGTCTTGTGACTACATTAAAATGTAAAATAGAGTAATTTTTAAAGAAATATGACAGTCTAGCAACGGATTAGTTATATTTTCAATCTGTTAACAGACTCTGATTAAAACTTCAATCTATTTTGGGGTGGATGAAAACTCTAGGATTAAATCTCTTTGAAGATGGGACCTTTTTAAAAATATTTTATTTATTTGGAAGTAAGAGTTACAGAGAGAGGGAGAGATCTTCCACCTGCTGGTTCACTCCCCAAATGGCTGCAGCGGCTGGAGCTGGGCAGATCAGGAGCCAGGAGCTTCATCTAGGTCTCCCTTGTGGTGGCAGGGCATAAGCACTTGGGCCATGTTTCACTGCTTTTCCCAGGCCATTAGCACAGAGCTGTTTGGGAAGTGGAGCAGCCAGGACTCAAACTGGCAACAATTGCCACAACACTGGTCCCCAAGGTGGAGCTTCTGTAGAGTTCAGCGAGCACCTAAGGTTTTTAAAGTGCTGATCTGACCTGACTTAGACTTCAAATGTTTTTAAAAATTCATTTATTTTCTTATCTATTTATTTACTACTTAAAAGGCAGAGAGAGAGAAAGAGAGAGAGGTCTTCCATTTGTTGGTTTACTCCCCCAACTAGTCGCAACAGCCAGATCTGGATCAGGCTCAAGTCAGGAGCCAGGTCCTCCATCGTAGTCTCCCACATGGGTGGTAGGGGTCCAGACATTTGCAGCATCATCTGCAGCCTCCCAGGTACATTAGCAAGAAGCAAAGGGTGGGGTGGGGGGGTGGTTAAAAGCAAAGGTGGGACTCAAACCAGGTGCTCCAATATGAGAAAAGTGTATCCCAAGTGGTGGTTCACCGGGCTGTGCCATAATACCTGCCTCTTAAATGCTTTTTAATTAAATTCTTATCCAAGTGAATCTCAACAGGTGCTCAATAAATATTGCATTTAATGACTTAAAAGGTCTGTTTGTGTTATCACCTAGAGATAATCCTTGGACCACAAGTTTGTCTAGTTTGATATATCCATTTTTCTCTTTATTTAGTCAAAAACAAAAACAAAATACATTAGTCTCCCAACAGTAAAAAAATATATAACATTTAATAATAAATCTACTTTGAAAATCAACTCTAATATTTTAAACAACCTTACTTCTCTTACACTTAGAAATAAAGTGAAATGGTAACCTAACAACATATTACTTTTCCTGTCTTACTTTAATTATATCACATTTTAATCCAGTCAGTTCATTACTATGCCTGCATTGTACAACATCTTTAGTGTGAGGAATTATTTATTTTCCTAAATCAGCCAACAAGTCATAATTAACTAATGTGCTAAGCCCAGGGTGGGCATTTGCTGCAGTGAGTTAAGATGCTGCTTGGCACAGCACGCATATCTCATTTTGGAATGCCCGGATTTAAGGTCCTGCTCTGCTCCCGAGTCCAGTTTCCTGCCGGTAACACACCCTGGGAGGCAGCAGTAATGATTGCACTGGGACTGGCTTAGCCCCCACTGTTGCAGGCATTTGGAGAGTGAAGCACTGAATGGGAGATTCTCTCTCTCTCTCTCTCTCTCTCTCTCTGTGTGTGTGTGTGTGTGTGTGTGTGTGTGTGTCTCCCTACTGCTCTATAATTCTGACTTTCAAAATAAATACATATTTTTTTTAAAGTCAACAATTGCTAGAGTCCATACATAGTTTATTTTTATTTATTTTTTATTTTTTGACAGGCAGAGTGGACAGTGAGAGAGAGAGACAGAGAGAAAGGTCTTCCTTTGCCATTGGTTCACCCTCCAATGGCCACCGCGGCCGGCGCACTGCGGCCGGCGCACCACACTGATCCGAAGCCAGGAGCCAGGTGCTTCTCCTGGTCTCCCATGCAGGTGCAGGGCCCAAGCACTTGGGCCATCCTCCACTGCACTCCCGGGCCATAGCAGAGAGCTGGCCTGGAAGAGGGGCAACCGGGACAGAATCCGGCACCCTGACCAGGACTAGAACCCGGTGTGCCGGCGCCGCAAGGTGGAGGATTAGTCTATTGAGCCACGGCACTGGCCAAGAGTTCATACATAGTTTATAGCAAGGTCATTGCCAAAGCCACAGGGCATTGAGTTTATCAGTAGCTGAGTTTTAACCTGACTTGACTTTAAACTCTCCAGAGTGTAATCTCTGAAATAGTGTGAGTAGAAAAATTAGTAACGATGATACTAGATGAAGCACTAAATTGTGGGTTGTGTATTTGGAATTTCTTAATTTTTCTAAGTCTCTGAAACTATTCTTATGATTGAGTTCCTAAAATCCTATGAATACAGGACTCTAGGATTTTATGTTTACAAACCAAGTTTCAGATTCCAAATCATTTTAGATGCTTAATGGTTTATTTATTTTAAAATGTTAATTAGTTATTATTTATATGAAAGGCAGAAAGGGGGGGGTGGAGATTTCACATCTGCTGGTTCACTCCACAAAACTCTGCAACAACTAGGGCTGGGCCTTGCTGAAGACAGGCACCTGGAACTTAATCCAGGTCTCCCATGGGGAAGGCAGGGGCCCAAGCACTTGAGCCATCACCTGCTGCTTCCCAGGGTGCACGTTAGCAGGTAGCTGGAATTTGGAAGGAGGGCTGGGACTTGAACCCCAGCGCTTTGACAGGAGAAGGGAGTTCCCAAGCATCATCTCAACTGATGCACCGCATGCCTGCCCTCCCACCGAGTGCTTCCCCTTTACATCAAGGCTTCGTCCTCTCAAAAAATTAAAATTTCAGAGTGAGACAATTTGGGAAAGAGTAGAGCTAAAGACAGGGAATACTGAGTATATTCTCCAAAGAGGACGTTGCGATGGAGATGATAAAGAAAAACACTTGGCAAAGCTAAGACCAAGTTCCGAGCAAGGCTCAAGTCCCCAGAAATGTCCTCTGCCTGCTACTCTTAGTGTATCCTCTTCTGGGGTTTCACCAGACATGAAGGTGGTCACCATTGTGCTTTGCCTCTTTGTTGTTCTTTCCTAGTTTTTTCTTCTTTCTGAAATATAAATCTCTCTTTGTATTAAAGTTACATCAAGCAATTATTTTAAGGTTAAATGAAATAAAAGAATGTACTTTCTATGGAAAACATGAATAGATCCAGTTTCTCTAATGAGAGATTTAAATAGAAATGATTCTAAATCAAATTCATCTTGGATAAAGGGTTTACTGGTAAAACTAGGTATATTCTTTTGAGAAAGATATGTTTTGTATCTTCTTGGAAAAGTGTTTTTCATAAGTATGACAAGGCATCAATTGCCTTTATATTATAGTGTTCTTACGTATTAATAAAAAGGTAAAAAAGGCAATTTAAAAATAATGATTTTTGGAGCAGGTGTTTAGCCTAGCAGGTAAGACGCTGCATGGGGT